ATCTCTCCAGCCCCAAACTATTTTTTTTCAAGACAGAGTTTCTTTTGTGTATCTCTGGCTGTACTGGAACTCACTCTGTAGACCAGGCTAGCCCTGAACTCACAGAGATCCGCCTGCCTCCACTTCCCAAGTGCTGGTATTAAAGGCATGCACCACCACTGCCCAGCTACCAAAATGTTTAAATCAAGTTCTTGTCTTAACCCTTGTGCGGCATCTCAGGTGGATTTTCCTGCATGGAGAAGAGGATTGGACAACAGGAAGAAAACCTAACTGGATCCTAGTGTAGACACTGAGATTGGATAGTCTCATGGGAAGGAACAGCCCAGAAGCTGTTTTACTTTTGACAAATGGGAGACAGAAATGGAGGTTTAGGGTAGAGCTAAAGCCCATATCCCATCTAAGATGCTCACTCAGCCTCTTCTGCTCTGTTCTACTCACAATCACTGCATGTGCAAAGAGCAAAAACCTGGAAACGGAAAGTCCAGTCTGTAAGTCAGTAATTTCAAATGACAGTGGGGGTGGAGTCCAGACTGGACATCACCATTCAGTCTAACGCATCTCTATCCCCACACGCTGAATGTTTTCCAGTCTGACCAGCTCACAGATGAATCAGATCCCTTTTCTTCCTCAAGGAGCTTGCAAGTCTCCTCATTTCTAAGACAGGACCAGGCACGAAGTGCCCAAGGGATAACAGTGTCGGGCAGGAGGAGGGGCTCACTATAGAAGGGCTCAAAAGTTAAGAACTTCAGAAGCCCTTTGAAGACCCTGATGAAGCCGGGCAGGAAGCAAAGAATATACTTTGAATAATTATGAACTAAGTTTCTGATTCACACCCCTTGATTTCCCCATAGTCTTCTATGTCTTACTTGGAGCGGTTGGTTTTTTTGAGACAGGGTTTCTCTGTATAGCCCTGGCTGTCCTGGAACTCACTCAGTAGATCACAGCGATCCACCTGCCTCTGCCTCCTGGGTGCTGGGATTAAAGATGTGCACCAACACCATCAGGCCTTTCTCATGGTTCTTAGATGTTTCCAGTCTCTGGTCATACTCAAACACCAGAGGAGCTCGAAGATCATCATTAAACATTCATTATCTCCACTTTCTTCAGTTTTCATTCCACAAACACTGACAGAGTAGACCTCTACCAGGTGACTGGACCTGTACTGGGCTCCGGGGAGACATGGATGGGCAAGATGAGTTCAGATTCAGCCCCCATCTCACTACCTATCTTCAAGGGTGAGCAGAAGATTAAACAAAGTCTGTTTACTTGACCTGTCTATCACTCAGATGTCATCAGCCTGAGATAGCCTCTCCCTTTCCCCCTTCTTTCTCCCCTGAAACATTCTCAGGAAATTTTGCAGGATGAAAGAAATGACTGCCTGCTCCATAATTGAAAGACTCCCTGACCAGCTTCCCAGGTAGCCAAGTGGCTGCTCAGACCTCAGAGAGCATCAGGTGCTTCCTACAGAGCAACCTCCAATCTGATACTTGATAGCTGGTGATTTCCAGAGTCAAACAAATGTCAGGGATTTTATGAAGGAAGGCAGGAAGCAGAAAGGGGGGCGAAGATGGGGGTCTAGGCCTCAAGGGAGCTCAATTAGTGAGTCAGATAGTTCAAGCGAAAGGGTATGTTCTCAGTTTCCTAGAAAGCCAGCTGGAAAAGATGGCAATCCTTAAGCCTCTGTCACTCAAAAGATTAAGAGAGGAGACCTCAGGGTGCCCAAAGGGAATTCTGCAACAAGCCAGATGTTTCTGCTCTTCCTATGATTCCACTGCTCTCAACCAGAGCCACATTTCTGGGGCCACCAAGAAGTCACAGAAGAGAGCTGGTATCTTTTGAGACAGGGTTGAAATCCAAACATAATCCTTTATCAATACAGATAGAAAAGATTCCTCTGTGACCTTGCCTGGTGTGTTGGGGTTTAGGATTTTCCCATGGAGTCATCTTCCCCTTTAACTGGAAGCACACAATATAATCCATGCAAGCCTTCCAGAGCCACACATGCACCGGGTTACACCTCCCTGCCTCCAAAATGGGTCTAAAAAGACTGCCTCTCTTGTTCTTAAGAGACTGTATGAAATGCCAAGCCCAAAGGTTCATAAATGGTGGCTCTTACTGTTGCCCATAAGTGCAATCAGAAAACCACACGCTCAAGAGAGCTGCTTGCAGTCTAGAAAGATGACTCAGTAGTTAGAAGCACTGGCTGTCCTTTCAGAGGACCCAAGTTCAGTTTTCTGAACTAGTGTAGAGCATCTCGCAACTCCAGATCCAGGGGATCTGATGCCTCCAGCCTCTGAGGGCACCTACACTCACATCCCCATATTCACCTTCAGACTTACACATACACATGTAACTAAAAATAATAAATAAATCTTTTTAAAAGGAGCCATGTCTCCTTAGCATGTTCTAAACTTGTGTGTGTGTGTGTGTGTGTGTGTGTGTGTGTGTGTGTGTGTGTGTGTGTTTGACAGGGTGAGCCGAGATACAGGCAAACCTATTTACAGGTCATGCTTATGTTCCATCACTTTTGTCAAATTAACAAACTAAAGAAGTTGTCAGGAAACTTAGAATCCGTTTGCCCCTGCAGTCCCAGCTTTCTCCTAAGAGGTGCTTTCTCCGGTTCCAGGAGTTAAGGAAGGAAAGCCATATGGCTTGAGACGTTAGACATGCCCGGCAGCAAGCAAGCCCCCCACCATTTGTCGGAGGGCCTCTCTCCTTTCGACCCTCATGTGGGCGGGCATCCAGATTGCGTTCGGGGTGCTCTGGTCTGCATCTCTGTCTTGACTGTTCCTAATTATTGGAGGGAACGCCGTGGCTCTCTCTTGCCTGACCTCAGAATTTAAGAGCTTCGAGTCCTCATATCAAACCATCAGCTTCATTTAAAAGGCATCCTCATCTGCATCCATAAAAGTCGCTCCTGGAGCCCTGACTTGCCCCAGCTTTGGGAATGCTGTCGAGGATTTATGACACACCCTGGGTCTAATCTGCCACACTTTAACTGCTGCTGTTGCACATCTGGTCGTAAAAGCAAGGGCCGGCCCAACACGGGGACAAACACTTTTCTTTCCTAAGTGGCTGCAAATCTGATCTCCCAGTGATAGGTGGGCTCAGATGTAATCAGCCCAGCATCTGGGCAGTCATTAAGTTAGTCAGGTTTTGCAAAGCTTTTCCTCGGTTGCACGACAGCTATAAAGATGACTCCCTCATAGCAAAAGCCAGGAATAAAGAAGCAGCTACGGGCACAGGTGGTAATGGGGCTAGCCATCCAGGAAACGGGGCCAGAGGATACCCAGGAAAGAAAGCACAATGAGGTTGAGAAACCAACCTTCTTTGCTCAAAGGTCCCAGCTCCTCTACCAGGGAGGTTCCCACAGGGTGCGGGCAAACTGCTACCCGAAGGTCCAGGCTCGATCTGACTGACTCTGATGCTTGCCCAGAGATCGCCTCCCTTATGTTTTGCCAAAGGAACCACTAGGTGGTTTAACAAATACATTTTTAAGGCAGTGAAATTTTTTATTAGACTAATAGGAGGGGGCAGGGAGAGCAATAATCTAGACCAGAAATGAACACAATGCTGCCGGTTCCCGTTTTACAATGCCCTGGACAATCCGTCCTGTGCACAGAATTGGCACATTTCGTGTGGTTCAGAAACTCCAATCAGACCAAGGTTCAGCCGATCCAACCCGGGGGAGGAGATCCTGGAATACTGCGCAGCTCTCCCGAACTTCTCCACAGTTCCCCCCACCCCTGCCACTCCTCCAGGGCCAGGCCGGCAGGAGGGGGCATTAAAATTATCTGCTGTGGGTTTTACGAGGGGCGATTGCTTTTTAAAACAACAACAACAACACAAGGTCCCTGTGTGGCTCGCGGGTAACCTAAAACTCTCTAGGCAGAGTACCCCTCCGCCCCCCCCACAAACACACACACACACACACACACCCTCCGCCTGCCAAGAACGCCAGCACGGGGACCGATGCAGCGACACCATAGAGAAGCTCTGCTCCAACCAAGGCCGAGCTCCCACCGACCTAGGAGGCGCCTCTAGGGGGTCTTGAAGGAAAAGGACTCAGGAGAAGTTCGGGAAAGAAAACCCACCGGTGACAGGTCATGGGAGTCAGTGCTACAAGAAAAAGCGGGGGGTGGGAGGGGAGCAATGAAATTTTATTTCAGCAACTTTTCCAAGAGGCCCGCAAGGGACTAGACAGCAGAGTCGGGGACAAGGTCTGTCACCTCCCTTCCCCCTCCTGTAGATGAGCGGCCAAAAGACCTCTCCTCCGCCCTCCCGCACCGCGCAGGTGGGCGCGCGGCGGGGAGACGCACTTACCCTGGGGCCGGTGGTGCGGTGGCCGCCGGCCGGGCACAGCTGCACCAACACGAGCAGCAAGTGGGGCGTGAGCAGGCGGACGCGCGCGGGCAGCATGGTGCCAGCCGAGCCAGGCAGCCGCTAGCGGGCAGGGGGCGCGGGCTGGCTTCAAGGCGCTTGGGGATAGGGGAGGACCCTGGCGGCGGCGGGGTGCGGCCAGAGAGCCTGCAGCGGGGGCTGGCGGAGTCTGCGGCCGGGGGGGTCACGGTCATGAACGGCGGAGTCCGAGAGCTGGAGCGCGAGCGTGTGCTCTGCGCGTGGCGCCCGCTGCGCTCGGCCTGGCCGCGGCCGACAGCAGGTTGGATGCCGGAGCCTGGGCCATGGGAATTCCCGTTATAAACCCCGGGGAGGGGAGGGGCGGGGCCCGGCGGGGCTGACTGACGGGTCGAGAGGCCTGTAGCAGCCGACCCTCCGGCAGGTGGAAGCCAATGGGAGAGAGACGAGAGGGCCGGTTCGTGGTCAGCCCCCCACCTTGGAGCCACGCTGGTTTCCCGGCCAGCCGGAGTGGACTCCGGCAGAGGCTGGGATACACAGTAACTTTCTCTTGGCAAGTCCTCCCTGGGAACCTCAGAGCCCTCCCGCAGCCTCAGCCCCTCCAGAATGATCACCTGGCTAATAAGGAAGCCTTGAGAACTTACTGGTGTTCAGCTCGCAGGCTGGAGTTGTCGCAACAGCTCCGTGAAGAAGGCAGGGAAAAATAGCTCCATTTTCCAAATGACACAAAGACCTTGAGCAATGTTTCCCGGCGGCCGCAACGCCAGGGAGCAACCTGGGAAGCCACTAGGTGCCCCCTACAGCGTGGGCTGTGACCTTCGTTAGAACGAGGAGTGAGAGTGTTAACTTTCAAAAAAGAAAAAAAAAAAAAAAAATCTCCTTACGGGTGACATCCCGCGTTCCACAGCGGCTACCTGAGAGAAGTCTCACGGAGGCAAAATAAAGCATCGGAGGCCGGGGAGACCCCCTGAGGGTCTGGTAATGCGCACCTGTGGCCCTATCTATGATCCACATGACCTGGGATCAGAACCCGGGCACCCTGTCTTACCAATCTGAACTGGATGTCCACAGGAGCAGCCTCCCTGTGGCCAAGCAACGCTGGAGAAAAAGGTCAGAGGAACCCTGATCTCACATGAGGAGAAAGAGGAGGAGGAGAAGGCATGAGTGGAGAGAGAGTGGTCTGTGAGAGCAGAAATCCTAGACACCTCCAAGGAAGGAGAGATCTTTCATGGGAGCCCAAACTTGGAGAGGATAGCTCGGCCCCAAACAGACCTGTCAGGCGCTGGAGGCCAGCCTGGACATGGTCACAGCTACGTCACATCACTCCTCAACCCAACAAGGTGTCAGCTGCCTTCCCCACAAGAGACTCATGATTACCTCCAAATGTGGAACAGGGTACTTGGTGATTGGTTCCCCGCGTCTGGACCCCTCCCTTGGTGGGGAGAGATCCATTTCTCCAACCAGAGTGCAATAAAGCACAGGCTTCACAGCTCCCTAACTGCCCTGAGAGGTCTTGACAAAGACTAGCTCTGCTCCCTTCCAGCTTCTCTTCTCGATTATATGAGCAAGCTTCCCAAGGGGCACACACACACACACCCCATCTGGCTGCACACGCTCTCACCCTACAGCCAGTCTTTCTGAACAACATCCAGAATGCACCACTCTGCTCAAAGGGCTTTGCACCTCCCCCATCGGCCTCAGACAGAAATGCCCAGGCAAGAATAAAGGGTACTCCAAACAAAAATAAAGAATATCTCTAAAAAGAAGTGTCGTTTTTCAGACGTGAAGCCAGCGCCTTGATCAGACTTCTAGAGCAAGATCCTACCACCAACACCGGCGAGAGATCCCAGCTCTGCCATCTAGTGGTAAAACCTTGAACAGGGCTCATCTGAGGTCTATTTCCCCCTCTGTAAAATGGGAGTAAAAATGGCATCCACGCCATGTGTGAGTTATTGGCAAGACTAGAGGAGATGGAGTGAGTAAAGCCCTTATAATGCCATGTGAAGAAAACAGGCTAATACTCCACAGCTCCTTTGTGCTCGGGATGATTTTACACATAGAGCAAATATTTCTACTTTACAGGCAGGTCAGCGGGCAATGTGTGATTGATTTGTCTGGTGGCCTTATCTGGTTAGTAGAGCCAATTGTCTAGGCTAGGCTCTTGGAGCCTTATCCTGTCTCTGTCACATGGAACCTCCTATCACTGTATCACTGGGAATTTCTCTGGAGACTTGGCTTCGCCAAGCACCCGGGGGGGGGGGGGGAAGGCGTAGGCAGCAAAGGTCGGGACTTCCTGGGACAGCCCTTGTGATATAGAATACTGGGGATTATACCAGCTGAACTTTCAACACTTGTCCAGCCCCCCAGGGTGCAGGTAGCACTTAGGCAGTTCCCATGAACCTTCAGTGTTTACCCACAGGGGGCGCAGCAGGCTGTAGGTTTCTCCTGACTCTGTCATGTGGCCACATGCAGCCATGGAGCAGATCCACACTGCCTTCTGATGTTGGAATTATTGAGAAAGCTGTTGGAGTCAGCAAGCACGCTCAGATGGCCCCTGGTATCTGGCAGCGCAAAGCCCCCAGAGGGAAGCATTGCGGTAGTGCTTTTCCATCCCGAACCCCAAATGCTACTTTCCAGCCAGAACACTCATTTCCAAATAGTCACTGATCCAAAAGTCGACATCGTGCTGGCCTTCAACCACGTAGCTTAATTTAAAATACAAGCAGCTGCTTTCCAGTGACTTTGCTCGGTGAGTATTTTCTTTCCTGCTGGTCAGCATGCAGGGCCTGCCATGACTCTGGGCGCCATTCTTGTGACACATTTACTTCTCCCAACCCCTCCAAAGCCCAGAGAAACTCAGAAGTCCCAGAGAACCCCTAGTCCTAAACAGCATCTCTCTGCCAACCAGGCTCAATCTTGTGATCCAAGCAAGAAAGTAAAATTGACACGTTGTCTTGCCTGGAGGCCAGGTTTATGACCCCAGAATAAATGACCCGGGGCCTGGCAGCTGGTCTCTCCTGTTCTAGTCACACTCTGCCTCTGCGACTTCTCTTTTCAAGTGGCTATTTTAATGGAAGAAAAACAATTCTTTATATCATAACTTAGGTCTTGGGGGTTCCGGTCTGTAGCACTAGTGGGGAATGGCAGTTTGACGTGTCTTGCCTTTTTATCCTGTTCAGAAGAGCAGCAGTCCGTTTGTTGTAGCAAGCACAGTGCTCATTGTTAAAGGGGGTCTCTGGACACTCACATTGTCCTACAATTCAACCAAGACAGGGAACAGTTAGGCACCTGGAGGCCATATCTAAGAGGAAAGTGTGCATTGGAAGGGAACTCAAAGAGCAAGGTGTTGGATATGTAAGGGGCAGCAAGGACCCCCGAAAGCAGTGAGTCCTGAAGGGATCTGAAGCGAAGTGTTTCTACAGTGTCAATGGTGTCAGATTTAGGTTCGCTTTGCTGTCGCAGCCGCAACCGAGCTAAGGTGTCCAAGGTGAGGACTCTTGTCAAAAACCACTTCTGAGCTCAGTCAGGAGTTTGGGATACTAAGACTAAACTTACAGTTTGGTTAAGGCAGGTTATTTGTTAGTCTTACTTTGCACGTGAGGCTTGTCCACAGAACTTAACCTTACCAAGGTCCTTGCCTGAATAGAACAACAGATAATTGAGAGACTTATCTGCCTCTAATCTAGATTCTTATTGACATTCTATCATAATAAACAGCTTCCAGGCCTGGAGAGATGGCTCAGCCGTTAAGAGCACTGACTGCCCTTCCAGAGGACTTGGGTTTAATTCCCAGTACCCACAAGGCAGCTCACAACTGTCTCTAACCCCAAGATCCGACACCCTCCCACAGACATACATGCAGGCAAAATTCCAATGCAAATGAAATAAAAGTAAATGAATTATAAATAAAAGATAAATAAACAGCATTCATCTGGTGGCCCCGAGATGGCTGCTCAAGTCTTAGCCATATCTGTTTTCCAGTAAATAGGAAGGAAAAGGGGAAAAGAAGAATATGTACTTGCCAGAAGTTACACTGCATTTTATTTCCCTGACTACAGCTCTATAGGTATCCAGGTAAACATAAAGGGTTACTAAGGAAGGAGACACAGTTGGCAGATGAAAGGTCTTCAGCTCCTTTATAATAAAAATATATATAAATGACTGCTGAGCATTAAATGTGTGCTCCTCCCACAAAAATTCATCTCTTGGAACCCAATCCCCTTCATGTAGAAGAAAAGGACTTCAAGGAGTCATTGGGACTAGATGAGGTCATAGAGGTAGAGCCCATAGGAATGAGATTGGTACCTTCATACAAGACATAGGAGAGCTTGCTTCTCAAGACTGTCTGATCTCCACCAAGGAAGGCTTTGAAGAGAAGTTGGCACTCTGGCTTCAACAAAGCCCAACCATGCTGGAACCTTGGTCTTGAATTCCTAGCCTGCAGAATTTTGAGAAATAAGTGTCTATAATTTAGAAGCACCTAGTCCATGACACAGCAAAATTCATATAGGAGCAGAACCAGTCCAGGAGAAAGAATTGTGTTACAGTCAACAGAGCTGAAAGGAGTGAGAGATCCAAAGATCCATGTAAGCCCTTTGACATCAGACATGGAGTTACAAGATTTGGAGTTTTCCCTGCTGGGTTTCAGTCTTGTTTTGGTCCAGTATTTCCTCAACATGCCCCTATTTCCTCCATTTTGGAATGGTACTGCATATTCTGTGCCATTGTGTGCTGGAAGACTGCAATTTTCTTTTTGATTTTTGATCTTACAGGGAGTTACAGTTAAGAGATTATCTTGGCCGGGCAGTGGTGGTGCATGCCTTTAATCCCAGCACTCGGGAGGCAGAGCCAGGCAGATCTCTGTGAGTTCGAGGCCAGCTTGGTCTACAGAGCGAGACCCAGAACAGGGTCCAAAACTACACAGAGAAACCCTGCCTCAAAAAAACAAGAGAGAGAGAGAGAGAGAGAGAGAGAGAGAGAGAGAGAGAGAGAGAGAGATTATCTTGAAAAGAGACTTTGGGCTTTTAGACAGTGTTGAGACTGTAAAGGATGATGGGGACTTTTGAAGTTGGACTGAATGCATTTTGCATTATGATATGGCTATAAGCCTTTGAGAGCCAGGGAGTGAAATATGGTGGCTTGCATAAGAGTACCTAGCCAGGTGGTGGTAGTGCATACCTTTAATCCCAGCACTCAGAAGGCAGAGGCAGGCATATCTCTGTGAGTTCAAGGCCAGCCTGGTCTACAGAGTAAGTTCCAGAACAGCCAGAGCTACACAGAGAAACCCTGTCTCAAAAAACAAAAACAAAAACAACAACAAAAAAACATAGGAACAACCCCATTGGTTTATATGTTTTAATGCTTGGTCCCCAGTTGGTGGAACTGTTTGAGAAGGATTAGGAGGTGTGACCTTGTTGGAGGAGGTGTGTCACTCAGGGTGGGCTTTGAAGTTTCAAAAGCCAAAACAGGTCCAGTATCTCACTCTTTCTGCCTCATACCTGTGGATCAGATGTGAGCTGTCTGCTACTGCTCCAATGCCATGCCTGCCAGCCTGTTACCACACTCCCTGCCATGATGGTCATAGACTCACCCTTTAAAGTGTAAGCAAGTCCTCAATTAAACACTTCCTTTTACAAGTTGCCTTCATAGTGCCCTGTCACAGCAGTAGAAAAATTACTAAGATGACCTGTATAGGAACTTCCCTCAGCCTGGGATTAAATATTCCATTTGATCTTAATCCATCAGCACTGAGGCAAGCCACTGAACCCCTACTGTGTGCCAGGTACTGCACCAGCCACAGGGTGTACAATGTGAACCATATAAGTGTCTGACCATGAGGAGTTGACAGTCTAGTAGGAAGGTAGACCAGTTGTCTGCAGCTTAGTCACTAATGGCAAGTTTCCACAGTGCTGCTAAGAGGTCCAGGCTGTGTAGGGAGTTTGGTGCATAACGTCTACACGCTTAGTAGAAAGTTTCCTGAAGAAGGGGCTGTGATCTAAAAGCTAAAGTATGTATTGGAGGACAGAATATTCTGGACACAGCAACCACCACATGCAAAGGCACTGAGGTGGGAGAAGACAGATCCATGTCTACGACTGATGAGCTAGCTCTAACCCTTTAGCCACTGACAGTCCATGAAAAAAAAAAAAAAAACAGTCATCACCATCTACAATCCAGGTCAAATAGTCACTTTCAAGCCCTTCAGTGACTAATTCACAGACGTAGGCCTGAAAGGGTGGTGAGCTCATTATCTACTTTTCCAGAACAACTTACTTCTCAGACTTTGCAGCTCTTCTTACCTGTTTCCCTGGGTCGGGAATGTAGGAATGGCACAATTGAGCAGCTTTGGTCAAGTCCAACTTCAGAGCAGGCCAACTGTGTAATCCCAGAGACTTCATACTTGGCTTGATAGTCTTCCTTTGCTATCTTGAATTTTTTTTTTTCATTAACAAGGAGCCTCTATTCCCACTTTGCACCAGAACCCGAAATTGTGCAGCCAGCACCAGCTGAAATCAGCTTATCAGCCAGGGCTACAGCCATCTAGTAGGGAAGGTCCTACCCTAAGCTCAACACCACCATGGTGTTGTCAGGAAACCACAGTCACTGTCCACATAGGTCTCACAGTAGGGTGTCTGTCCACCCAGAGCACGTGATGGGACTGAAGAACTAAGATGGGAGCCAAGGGCTCCTCTAACCTGTCCTCGAGAGTTCCACCCCTGGT